TCATTGATACATGACCCTCCCTGTTCATTGATACATCCCTCCCTGTTCATTGATACATCCCTCCCTGGTCATTGATACATCCCTCCCTGGTCATTGATACATCCTACCCTGGTCATTGATACATCCCTCCCTGGTCATTGATACATCCCTCCCTGGTCATTGATACATCCTTCCCTGGTCATTGATACATCCTTCCCTGGTCATTGATACATCTCTCCCTGGTCATTATGTGAATTCTTAATCACTGTTCTGTTTTCTAGTCTCAAACCATTAGATATTCAGTTCATGAAAGAGTTGCATGAAAAGGTTAATATAGTACCAGTGATTGGAAAAACTGACACATTAACACCATCAGAGCTATCAGCCATGAAAACTAGGGTAAGCACCTGTGTTTTTATGTGCGTTTTAAGATATTTTTTCCTGTCATGTAATACTTCAGAATCTTTTCAAATAATACTATTCAAATTATGTAGAATTGTACCTTGTTAAAAGGCTGGAATAATGTTTGTGCTTCTGAATGCTATTTTGTAGATCCGAAATGAAATAGATGATTATGGAATAAAGACATATATACTTCCAGACTGTGAAAGTGATGAAGAGGAGGATTTTATTGAGCAGACCAAACAGTTGAAGGTCAATTCTGTTGCATCTCAATATTATTATAATAATGATATTAACTTGTTTTTATGGTGGTCGCTAGATGTTTATTGAACATTGATGGTTTACACGTGACTGGTATTTATCTGTCATTTATGTTATTGATTGAAATTAAATGTTGAATGACTTTCAGTTGATCACTTACCAGAGCGGGAGATTGCTTCTCTGACTAGTGTAATGTTTAAATCAGAATTTATTGAGAGTGCCCTTACTGTTAGCTAGTTGTTATCGTCCGTGTACCTATGAATTTCTTCTTGTTAACCACAGGCTTCTATGCCATTTGCTGTTGTTGGAAGCAATACTTTAATTGATGTTTGTGGGAAAAAAGCAAGAGGTCGACTTTACCCCTGGGGGGTAGTAGAAGGTAAGTAGTTGTCAATACATAAGCAGCATTTACAGACCTATTGACTTAAGAAAAATACATGTTTTTTCCTTTTATCAGTTGAAAACCCTGCTCATTGTGATTTCTCCAAACTTCGAACAATGTTAATGTAAGTATGACCGCTATAGTTTAATAAAAGTAAATTTCATGGCAAACATCTTATTCTTTTTGTTGTAACATGTTTTGTTTGCTTAGTACTCACATGCAGGACTTGAAGGAGGTTACACAGGATGTACACTATGAAAACTTTAGAGCAGCTGCTTTAGGAGAAACAACACCAGCCACACCACGTACTAGTAAAAGGTATGCGATCAGCCCTGCGACATCTTATCATTGATGTACCTTAGAACAGGGCACATCATAGTAGCAGTTGCTAATGTTCTAATTTATTTCTCAGCCTTAACAGAGTAAAAGAACAAGCTGCTAAAGAAGTGATGGAGAAAGAACGTGCTTTAAAAGAGAAAGAGGAAGAGGTGAGTGAACGTCTATAGTAATACCTTAACCCCATCTGTTAATCTGGTAAGAGGATCAAGGGGCTACTAAGGCTACTCTATGACAATCATAATCATGATCATTTTGTTCATTTATCAGCTTCGTCGCATGCAAGATATGATTGCCAAGATGCAAGCACAGATGAAGGCTAAAAGTTAGCATATTTTTGATGTCTAATGGCTCATCTTGATGAATCAGGCCATCTTCCTGATTGATCATTGTCTAAATTTTATGGTCTCCAAGGCAACAATCAATAGACAGTTTTACAAGCAGGACACACAGGCATGGTATGCACATCTCCATGGTAACAATCCATAGATAGTTTTACAGGCAGGACATGCGCATCACCATGGCAACAATCAATAGATAGTTTTACAGCCAGGAGACGCGCATTGCTATAAAAAAAGTTCCATTAGTAATTAAGGCCCTGGGTCTGCGCTTTATTATGTCATTACACGTCTCTCTCTCTATAAAACATTTCCCAGCTTCGTTTGTATCAAAGGTTTACTTTTACACCCGTTCTTAAACCCGATAGTGAACGAAAACGCAATTCATTAACACTAACCCTTACCTCTCTGTACTTGTCGCCAGTGTGATCATTGCCAACGATAATTGCATCCGTCTATAAGCGAATTGATACTGATAAACCGCTTCTGCATAGGGTTGTGACTAGATTTAGAAGTGAGTTATATATATTTAGTCTATTCCAACAATATTAATTATTATTATTATTGTTATCATTTGAATATGTTGAATAAATTGTTTGTATTGAAATGATAGTGCGTGGGGTGGAGAATGTTTATGAACTCTTTACCATATCATTTTTCTTTTTATTCGTTATATTTCGGATTTATATTATTGACGTTCTACATTATCCATCAGTTAACAGACAGCCGACCTCAACTGACAAGTATGCCAACCCACCTGACAAATTTAACAACTTTATTCATCAATGCAACAAACAAGATGCAAAAAATACTTACAAAACAAATTTTATCTTAAAATTAAAAATATTTTCTTTAGTTTACACTAGTCGTCCTGCAACAGAATTTACAAATCAACTATAATATTCTCATTTTACTAAATAGAAATGCTAGAAACTTAAATAACCAACGTTCATCAGCACTGAGTGTCAGTTGGTAGCATTATTAAAGCCAGTTATGATAATAACGAGATTTATGCGCGTTAGTGTCCTACGCTGCGCGGTACCCCATCAGCCATCTTCAACACTGACGGCCGTTAGTGAACATTATAAGACTTTTTGTCAGAACGTGTAACACGATTTCTGAAATCACATCTCTCCTAGGTCGCTGGCCAATCTTACAAAATTAAATCGACCTTCTCCAAATTCAGTAACTTTCCCTCCCTCCCACCCTCCCACCCCTAAAACAAGTCTTAGCGACTATATTTGCAATGTCCCTCACTTTTCCCGCCCTAACTTTTAATGAAACTCAATCAATAGTACATGTTTAAAGGAATTCACGATTGATTGCAATGATATCGGGGCTTCCATCATAACATGTGGTCCTGTGATGGTAAAATAACCCACAGCTGCTGCATATAGCTCGTGCAGCATGTCAAAGTAACGTCATGTTTAGAGACCATTGACGGTCTACTCTAAATCTAGCAACGAAATGAAAATACTTTTAAATAAACTTTAAACCGTTCTAAGGCAACAGAAGTATAAATACATAAATACAAAAGCATAAGATAAACGAGGTATTTTAGACTGCGAGTGTAAAGACGTGATTGATGGTTGAAGAGGGCTATGAGGACTGCTATGTTAATTATCTATTATTCGTTACCTGATGCGATGCTTATCACGTTAAGGGTTTAACTCCTTTTATCTACTTGATAGTTCATGGTCAAAGTAAAAGTTGATACCACATGATCAAAGGATGTCGGTAGTATCATTGATATAATGGCCTACTCCTCGTCGTGCTTTGAGCTTCCCATCTTCCCAGCTATTTTCATCTCTTCAATATCTTCCCGTGCAATGATATCTTTAGTTCCATTTGATATACCGTCATTCTGATGTGGTTTCCCTTCCACTTGTAAATTATCATTCTCGTCAAGTTGTTGGGCGTTCATAATGCAGCGAAATGGCGTCTCCATTGAGGCACTTGAACCCTGAAATAAAAAAATTGACAATTTGCTGTTACTGAGATGATGCGTACATTCCTTTTTAGCGATTAACACTTACAATGGTAGATGGAAATTTGGAATAAACCAGTCCAGATTCTTGCGCCGTTCCACATGAACCAGTCATAGCCTCATCACCAGTACGAGACTCAGTGGACAAATCGCGAATAACAGGAATAGTATTTTCAATAGTGGTAGTGTTTTTCTTAACTCTAATGGTTTTCTTTGGCACGTTTCTTTTCTCTATACTTCCGATCAGTGCATTAACAAGTGAGAATGTCCTAGGGGACTCTAGCTGGTCAGCGTCATCACAGGCACCATTGGAAGCGTCTGCCAGGCATTCCTTTTCAATGTCGAAGAATTTTGATCGTTCTTCGGGTTCTTTATTTGAGTATTCCACCGAGGAAAAGCTTTTCGTGTGTAGCTCATCAGGCAAGATGCTGGCGCCGTCTGTTTCAGTTGGTGTAAAAATCTTCCCACGTAGGGTGGGGTTGATAGACGATTGTTCCACATTCAAACTTTTTAACCTCTGCATAATTCCAACATTAGCTCTACCTTCAGCATCACCTGATTCCAACAAGTCTTTACTGGGGCTAGGACTAACCGATAAACTGCTTCTGATGGAGTGCGGGCTCTTTAATCCTGATATATCATCTGAATCATAATCAGGAAAGTCATAGTCAGATGTGGTGGTACTCAAAGTCTCGCCGGTTCCTCCTAAGAACGAGTCTATAGTCTTGACAGTATCAGGTGTACTTCCACCACTGTTGCTAGGGTACGCCTGTCTGAAATCTTTATTAAAGTCTAGGTTTAGTCCGGATTGATTTTCTGTCAGATGTATATCATCTTCATTGTACACTAAGCTGGCTTGTTCTTCTGCGGTGTAGCTATAATTATCAAAAGGAGTAGGTAGATCGTCATAAAACTCGCGTCCATTTTGGGTAGCCATACGCTCTTCTCTCGCCATACTGCGCGGCTTTGTTGGGACACGTTGTCCGTGCTGCTTAGCTGTGCCTTGCTTGCCAGGGATCTTGATAGGAACCCTAGATTGCTTTGTAGGACTTCTTGCCCCGGCTGCAGACGACTGCGTTTTTGAAGGGGATTTTGTCGCATCTGAAATATGAGGATGAATTAAAACTTTTGGTTAAAGTTGCATGGTTCACGCACGGCACAAAGCTGTAATCCATGCAGTATATCCCAGTGTACCATGTATATCCCAGTGTACCATGTATATCCCA